ATTGTATGAAGAGTTTCTCAAAGCTTAATTTCTACAGAAGTTTCTGAAAGTACTAAAGCTGCCAAGTACTGAAGTTCTGTGACAAATATGCTCTGATGATCAACACGCTGAAAGCACACATGCTGCAGAAGACTCTGATACAACAAGGTTCTGAACATCATTAGAAGACTCTGACTCATTCAGATTCTGAAGAACTTGCTGAAAACTGAAGAAGATATATTCAAAGATTATATCCGTTGGAGTAAATCAAACGTCTCTTTCCTCATTTGTGCTAGACACAAGAACACAAACAAAAAGGATTGTTCTGTGCTTTCTATTTCTAGGAAAGGTCACTTGATGTGAAGACAAAAAGGCTCAGACCTTTTGGGACACTCTTCTCAACGCTCAGCATCCTTGGATCATCTGCCTATAAAAGGAAGACTCCACCAAATTCTTCAGTTACACAATTTGCTGAAAAGAAATCATATTATTCAAAGCTCTCATTCTTTCATATTCTTCTTAGAATTATTTGTACTTAAACTTAAAAGAAAAATCACTGTTATGATAAAAGCTTTATAGAAGCATTAATACTCTTGTATTTGATTTACATTGATTGTAAAGGTTTTCCTTAAGAGGATTCAGTTGGAATCAGTAGCTCTTGAGAAGACTAAGAACAGTTGTTCTTAGGTGTTACTATTGTAATCTGTTTGATTAAATAGTGGATTAAGTCCTTGTTGAGAAAGGCAAATCACTCTAGGAAGGGTGGACTGGAGTAGTTGATTTAAACGAACCAGGATAAAAATAATTGAGTTATTATTTTTTAGTCTTAATCTTTCATACTTATTCAACCCCCCTTCTAAGTATTTTCTCACCTTCAAAACTTACATACAAAACCCCAACAAATGAAAAATACATAGAGATGAAGGAAGAAGAACACAAATCTCATGGTCTGTCAACTCCGATTGAAGTGGATTCGACTCCAGATCGTCAAGATTCACCCTCCAATGTTGTTTCTAAGCTAAATCTACTCAAGAATATGTTTGATGAAGTTGGGGTAAAAAGTTCTCAAACAACATCACTTAAAAAATGCTAAAAAAAAATCACTTAAATATGCAAAAATAGGTTCCAGTGTTCGCCTAGCGAAGTCCCGTTTGCACAACGAACTTATGCCTCATTTTCTACTGCCAAAACATTGTTTTTCATGCGTTTTAGAAGTTTATGTTCGCCTACCGAACATGACAGCAAACCAGCACTTGTTTTGACCATAAATTTTAAACCGTAACTCTGTTTTACGCGCGTTCGGAAGCGTTGGAAAGCTGGTTAAATACTATATAAGACAATGACGAAATATCATTGCTTATATAACTACAAAAATGAGAGAAAACCAATTAAACTCAATGATATTTACGCGTTATACAATATAATGTAAACTATACAACATATGCACAAAAGTTGAGGTTTATTGGTTGAATTAAGCCAATAAGTGCCAATTATTTACACTCAAAATCAGTATATTTTAGCATTTATCAGCATGTATCCAATCTCACCTCAGAAGACTTTGTTCATCATCTGCTAGTAGGTAGCGTCAGCATTCTTCAAGCCGAAAGACATTACGTTGTAGTAGTAGTTGCCCGACTCAGTCATGAAGGCCGTGCATTTTTTGTCCCCTTTTACCATTGGGATTTGGTTGTACCCCAAATACACGTCCATAAAAGACAATAATTTGAAACCCATATAGTTATCAACCAACCTATCTATGTTAGGTAACAGGTAAGCATATTTAGGGAAAGCCCTTTTAAGATCAAAGTAATCAACACACATTCTCCATTTTCCATTAGACTTTTTAACGAGTACAACGTTTGAAAGACAGGTTGTGTATTGGGCTTCCGAAATAAAGTTTTCCTCTAAGAGGTCTGTTACAGCTTTTTCAATAGCCTCTACTTTTCAGGAGGCTACCTGCGCCTACATTGTACTACAACCTAACAGTGGGGTCAATTGTCAGTTGTTGGCAGGCCACGTCAGGGCATCTCCGCAGCGCTCCACGTGAACAGGTCAGCATTTTCTCTTAGGCATGCTTTCAGATGCTTCCTTGTAAGGTAAAAGAGGTCGGTTCCAATCTTCACTCCTTTGTTTGAGCCACTGCCGAGGACGATGACTTTGAACTCTCCGTCAGGAATGAGGCGCCTAGGATGGGCAGGATTTTCGTTGATATCTGGCGCTAGGGAGGCTTCACTCGCTGGTCGGGCTCCTTTGTCTTTCTTCTTCTGCTTCTTTAAGCCATCCTTAGTGAAACAGATGTCTAAGTCAATCGAGTCGACGTGGGACATCGACTTTGGCTCCTCAGAGGTGTTGGGTCGAGCCGGCTTGCTGGGAGTTCTGAATGGCGCGTTGATGGTGTTATGTCCTTTCGAGGCCACTTCAAAGCATCTCCTCTCAATTTTTATCTCTTCGTGGAGGGTGGTGACAAGACCCTTGGCCGTGTAGTACTTCATCTTCAGATGGAATATGGATGGATTTTGGGTTCGACCTCGCATCGATGAGTTGATGGTGTTCTTTCCCGGCCTTTGTCCATGGTGGATTTTGGGTTCGACCTTGCATCGATGAGTTGCTAAAACTTCCTTTTCGCTGATCCCACGATGAACTTGTTAAACCCTTCACCAGATATGACCATGACGGAAGGGACGATTTCCCATGTGTTGTGCGCTCGAGCAGACACTTCTTCATGTCGTCGGTCGTGGAGACCTGGACAACTTCTCGAATGAACCTCTCAATGTAGGCTCGGAGGGATTAAACTTTCCTCTGCATGATCACTTCGAGTGTTGCCTCCGACTTTAGATGGTGACGAGAAGCGGTGAGCGCGGCGGAAAGTAGTCATACTTCTCCCGCCGAGGGTTGTCGACACAGCATGGCGGCGAATCCCTCAGTCGAACCTTCAATTTTCACGAGGGAGAACGAAGGTTTTTTGGCCGTCCGTTGGCTTTGCTCTTCTTGGCAACCGGTGAGCGTCGGTCCTCGCTGGAAGGAGTACGGTTGCGATTCAAGGGTTGTGGCCTCTCCAACCGCAGGTGATGGCCTGGTCGTTGTGGGGACAAGCTGCAGAACTCATATCGTTCGTGTCTCCGTGGGAAAGAGCGTGGACATCGGTCTTTCTCCAATGCTTTGATTCTCTCATTCTGTTGATAGATCAACTCATTGGTCTGGTTTTGGGCCGCGACCAGGGCCGCCATGGTTGGGTCGGCGTTGACCGACACTGGGATTGGTTGGAATTTCTCTAGTGTCTTCTCCGAAGCTTTTTGGGCTCTACGGGTCTCGACGTACTGGACGTCATTATCAACCGCATCGTTGGAGGAAAGGGAGGCAGTGTGTCCGTCTCTCCTTGTTGGAGTGTCTTCCTCCAGAATTGACATATCGTTTTTGTTGTCGGCGTTAAGGACGGGAGAGAAGATGGTTTTGTGACCGCTGTTATCATGTTGATCGACCATGATTGGTTTTTGAAGTTTTCTATTTTGGTCTCTTGGTTTCAAGGATAGAAAAGACGGGGCAACAAGTTTCCCACAGACGTCGCCACTCATCCAACTTGTCGATTAGAATATGGCTAGCAACACGTCTGCAGCAGCAATGGTCAACAAGAGAAGATGGGGTGTACCTGCACACACTTTGTGCGGAACAAGTTAATGACGTGTCCTTGTGTAACGAGCACGCGGGAAAACGCCTCCTACTAACCCCAAGGAGTTGGGCCAACATTGTGTAACGTCCTCGACGTAGTATTGAATTGGACTGTGCTTGACGGTAGATCAACTACAAGCTCAATCCAAAATTATATATATATATATATATATATATATATATATATATATATATATATATATATATATATATATATATATATATATATATATATATATATATATATATATATATATATATATATATATATATATATATATATATATATATATATATATATATATATATATATATATATATATATATATATATATATATATATATATATATATATATATATATATATATATATATATATATATATATATATATATATATATATATATATATATATATATATATATATATATATATATATATATATATATATATATATATATATATATATATATATATATATATATATATATATATATATATATATATATATATATATATATATATATATATATATATATATATATATATATATATATATATATATATATATATATATATATATATATATATATATATATATATATATATATATATATATATATATATATACCGTCTATCTTAGAATAAATATCACATTTATGATTTTTTAATTCTTAAATTAATAATTAATTAAGTCAACTGTAATAATAAAATTAATATTATTTATTAGAATAGTTTTAATAGATAGTAAATAGTTTAATAAAATAAATCCAATAAATAGAAAATATATTAATAGGAAAGTTAACAAATATAAATTAATATTATTAAATAAAAACTATTAAAATATAATGAAACTGAATAAATGATATATATATATATATATATATATATATATATATATATATATATATATATATATATATATATATATATATATATATATATATATATATATATATATATATATATATATATATATATATATATATATATATATATATATATATATATATATATATATATATATATATATATATATTTATGAGACAGATGTCATATTTAATATTTGATAAAAATATATGATTCAATCTCAATTTATATTATTTTAATTTGTCTTTTCTGATAAATAAAATATGGATATTCTTCAAAGTTTAAAAACTAAATTTATAAAATTTAAGAAAGTATTAAAAGAAAAAGTATGTGTTAAAGACTTTTTATTATGTTCATACCATATTAGCAAAGAGAAACTCCTATACAAAACACTATATATATGTACTATTCCTTCCTCAAGACTTGGCAGTTATTTCAAATATAAATTAAACAACAAAAACCACAAGATTAAGCTATCAAGAACCATGGCAACCACCTGCAAGCATCTTATTGCCATCATCTTCCTTACTCTGTTCATCACAGGTATGCTTTGATAATTACTTCATGTGACAAATACATATAAACATGCACATTTTCTCTTTTCTATATGTCCATAGACAAAATAGTAATAATTTTTAGAAATTCACACACAACCGCAAGCATCACGGTTCAAAGTCTCATGATGACGGTCAACTTATCAATATCAATGTTTTGTCAGCTGAGTTAAAATCTGCGGGCAACATGCACATTTTCTAATTTAATTTTTTGTCCATAATAATTTTCAGGAACCTATGGCCAATGTCCATTGAACAGCCTCTTCATTATCACAAGAATGACTGGTGCAAAAATAGGAGGCAAAACTCAATGGAGGGTTACAGTAGTTAACAAGTGCAACTGTCCACTAAGCCAAATAGTATTGAATTGTCAAGGGTTTCAAAGTACAATGCCTGTTGACAATACAATTCTTCTTAAGAGAGGTGATAATTGTCTCTTATATAATGGCCATGCCTTGAGTGGAAATGATGCTGATCAATTTGCCTATGCTTGGGATACACCCTTTAATCTTTATCCTGTAAGTGCTGTTACAGGTAGTCCTTGCAAATAAGGGTTGACTTAGATTCAACTCATTATGGGAAAGTTAAGCTCTTTGATGTAATATACTTTTATAAGGGTTGAGTTACATTCAACTCAAATTTTAGAATAATTAATAAAAACATCACCATCTATATTTTAATTATTTGAGCTATACCTTTTTATTTAAGCATTTGATGTTTTTATTTTTCAAATTTAAATAGGATATATATTTTATTATTGTTTGACTATTTTTAATAAGCAAAGATTTTATTAAAAAAAAGGATAAGGAATACTCAAAACAATTGTATCCAATTACCAACCCACCAAAAAAACTCGTTGTTATAGAGATAAGACCGGGTGATAATAAAAGAAGAGAAGTTAAGTACTCTAATTTTAAAACTGGAATATCAAATGACAAAGTAAAAAAAATGGCAAGAAAAAGGAGTATAAGTTATAAATTATAATGGTTGTCCAATGCTGTTTTTTCATAGAAGGTTTCATAGAAGTCAAAGGGTGAATAGTAGATATTCATAGTGCTACTAAAGATGATGAAAATGTTGAAAGTCAAGAAATGCAACAAGAGCCCATGGAGAAACAAAGAGGAAAATTTCAAAACCAAAAATCAGCAAGTATTTTTTGCAAAGGTTGAAAAAATAAAAATATGATAAAGTTTTTGGTGAATTCTTTGAGATTTTAATCACCTTCAAATCAACATTCTATTCATCGAAGCACTTGAAGATACCCATAAAGCACAATGATTTTGGTATTGTCACCATCTCTTATACCACTCGAAACAGAACTTTCTATAAAAGACTAGGAGGTGAGATACACTATTTCCAAGAAACTCATCATAAAATTTGTTAATCACTCAACAAAATATATGTATGGTATTTTTTTTTTTTTTTAAGAACGACGCCTTGAAATAAAGTATAAATTATTTTTTTATAATTAAAAAACAGATAAGGGTTAAGGCTAATGGAAAAACAAAAAGAAGAATAAGGATTGATTATAATCGTTATTCTTTACTTTCTCTTTGAATCAGATTACAAGTACTCAAGAATAACAAATAACCCTCTCAACCTAATTAGGATTTGCCATACTTAAAATAAAATACTAGTATGCTATTTATAATAAAACCTAACATACTAAACTAATGAGTTTTTTTTAGCAATTACCATTACAAGCTAACTTAGGGTACAAGGTAACTTAAATAGTTGGATCCTTAACACAAGGCTCAATTCGATAACTACATACTAGAACACATTTCGACTATAGCATGTAGGTCTTCGACAACAGCATGTGAGCATACTTCGACGACATGCTAAACCTCTGTCGACAATACTAGAGTTTGATTCAATATCTCACAAATATCCACCTTGGAATAAACTCTATAACATCAAGAAACAAACTAGCTTTCTTCATGCAGCTTTATCAACTGCATACAGTGGAAAAACTTGCAACTGGGCAACGTCTTGGTGATCATATCAACAGTATTATGATCTGTTGAAACCTTTAGCATTTGGACTTCTCCACACTCGATTACCCCTCTGACGAAATGTAGCCTCACATCAATGTGCTTTGCTCGCTCATGATATGTTGAATTCTTCAACATGTGTATTGCAATTTGACTATCACACTTAACAGTGATACTTCGACCTTAAAGTTTTAGCTCCTTTGCAAAACCTTCAAGCTACAATGCTTCTTTCACAGCTTCAGTGAGGGCGATATATTCCATTTCAGTGGTTGATAAGACAACAACCTTCTGAAGTGTTGCTTTCCAATTGATTGATGTGTCAAAGATAGTGAACACATATTCAAAAATAGATTTTCTAGAATCCACACAACCTGCATAATCTGAGTCGACATATCTTTTGATTGTCGCTTTACTATCTTCACCCAAGGCTCCACCAGAAATTAGGACTCTGTTCAGAGACTAATTTATGTACCTTAGAATCCACTATAATGCTTGTCAGTGAGCCTTTCCAGGATTCGCCATGTACCTACTTACAAGACTTACTGCATATGCTATGTCGGGTCTAGTACAAACCATAACATACACCAAAGAATCCACTATATTAGCATATGGAATGTTATTCATATAAGCTCTTTCGACATCAATACTGGGACACTGATCTATACTCAACTTGAATTAAGAGTTTGTCGGAGTCACAACAGGCTTTGAATTCGACATACCAAACTTTTTTAGAATCTTACGTAGGTATGCCTCTTGAGATAAGCATAATTTTGACTGATTTATATCTCTTCGGATGTCAATCCCAAGAATCCTGGATGCAACTCCGAGATCCTTCATGTCGAACTCCTTATTGAGTTCAACCTTCACCCTCATTACATATTCGACATTGTTTCTTGCTATTAGAATATCATCTACATAAAGCAACAAAATAACAAATGAATTACCAGGTCGAAATCTGAAGTAAACACAGTGGTCGACCTGACTTCTAATGAAACTTATGTGTGCCATGAACTTGTCGAATCTCCTATTCCACTATCAAGGAGATTGTTTCATTCCATATAAAGATCTCTTCAGCTTGCACACATAATCTTCCTTCCTTACTTCGACATACCCTTCAGGTTATCTCATTAGGATTGTTTCATCTAGATCACCATACAAGAACACAATCTGAAGGTGAGATAATACTTAGAAGAGGGGTTGAATAAGTATGAAAGATTAAAACTTAGAATTAAAAACACAATTATTTTTATCCTGGTTCGTTGAACTCAACTACTCCAGTCCACCCTTCCTAGAGTGATTTGCCTTTCTCAACAAGGACTTAATCCACTATTTAATCAAACATATTACAATAGTAACACCTAAGAACAACTGTTCTTAGTCTTCTAAGAGCTACTGATTCCAACTGATCCTCTTAAGGAAATCCTTTACAATCAATGTAAATCTAATACAAGAGTATGAATGCTTCTAAAAAGCTTTTATCACAACAGTGATATTTCTCTTAAGTTTAAGTACAAATAATTCTAAGAATGAATATGAAAGTATGAGAGCTTGAATGTTATAATTTCTTTTCAGCAAAATGTCTAACTGAAGAATTTGGTGGAGTCTTCCTTTTATAGGCAGCTGATCCAAGGAGAGCTGAACGTTGAGAAGAGTGTCCTAAAAAGGTCTGAGCCTTTTTGTCTTCACATCAAGTGACCTTTCCTAGAAGAAGAAAGCACAGAAAAATCCTTTTTGTCTGTGTTCTTGTGTCTAGCACAAATAAGGAAAGAGACGTTTGATTTACTCCAACGGATATAATCTTTGAATATTTCTTCTTCATTTTCAGCAAGTTCATCAGAATTTGATTGGGTCAGAGTCTTCTAATGATGTTCAGAACTTTGTTGTATCAGAGTCTTCTGCAGCATGTGTGCTTCCAGCGTGTTAATCATCAGAGCATATTTGACACAGAACTTCAGTACTGACAACTTTAGTACTTTCAGAAACTTCTGTAGAAACTATGCTTTGAAAAACTCTTCATACAATATTCTTCCTTGCTTCAGATGCTTCTGCTTTCTTCAGATTCTTCTGGAGCTTCTGCTTCAGAATCTTCTGGAGCTTCTTGCTTCAGATCCTTCTGGAGGCTACGCTCAGGATCTTCTGTTAGCAGCAATCAGAATCTTCTAATGAGTGCATCTGGCGCTTCAGAGTCAAGTTAATTCTCAAGCAAATTTTAGAGTATATAATTCTTAAATACAAAATTTCCTAATAGTTATCATCAAAACAAAGAGATATTATTAAGAACCAATCTGTGTTCTAACAATCTCCCCCTTTTTGATGATGACAAAAAGCATCAGAAATTTTGTTTAATTTAAAATATTAGAATTATAACTCCCCCTGAGATGATGAATCTCCCCCTGAGTTAAATACAAATAAGGAATAGAAACTTCCCTTTTGTATTTGAGTAATCTTCAGAGTTAGATCTTGTTTGTTCTTTTAACATTTGAAGGTCAGAATGTCTTGCAGATTTAAGATTCAGAGTTTGATAATAGTCAAATGATCTGAGAGACTCAGAGTTTCTTTTATAGAATGTACTTATCAAATGTTCTGAAATAGTCAGATTAAATGTTAGATAGAATAGATATGTCTGAAGTTTCATTCTGGTGAAGTTATATTAAACAGTTCAGATCTATATTTTCTCCCCCTTTTTTGTCATAAGCAAATAGTAAAAACTTTAAAAGGACAAATAAAAGGAAACAGTAAATTAGAGAATTCAATGGAGAAAACTTTGATTCATTCATAAGATCAGATCAAGAGTACATAGGCAAACATCAGAAGATATAGCAATAAAGTACATATGCAAACAACAGATGTAAAAACATTAGAATGAAAAAAAATCTAAGAGTATTTGGACAAAAGCATCTTTAATAGATCTGTATTCTCAGAGGATGATTGCTCTTGCTTGGACATCCACTTAGCCATAGTTTCATTCTTTTGATCTTGCTTTGACATCCATTCTGTCATATCCTCAGACTTCTTATCCTATTTAGCCATCCAGGACTTGATCTCTGACTGGCCAACTTCCAGAGCAGCAATCTTACCTTCAAAATCTGGATGTTCTTTCTTTATCTCAGATGAAGAAGTATGATTAGGTTCTGGAACTTGAACAGAGTCAATTTCCATTGGTTCTGTAGAGTCTGGAGCATTGGAATTAGAAGGAGGGTCTACCAGAGTCATGGCCAATTGATTTTCTTCAGATGCAGTTGCAGTAGATTCTGTTGAAGGTGGAGGAGCATCTGTAAGAAGTAGAGGTTCAGATTTCTTGACAGTCCAGAATAGAGTCCTTGCAGCCTCAGCAAATCTGAGCTTCGCATCATCAGAACATATGTTCTTCAGATTTGAGGCCACAGAGTTGAATCTGTTAGTGAATCCATTCCAGATGATGTCAGATTCTTTAGCATCCATTGTTGCTGAGCATTTCTTCTGAACAGTACCTAAATACATCTGTATTTCTTGCAAAAATGTTTGAAATAAATGATCAACATTAAGTCTGGGCTTTGGACGTAACAAAGTTTCCAGAG